TAAGAGTGCTTTCGTTGCATCTGAGTCCAAGAATCAGTTCCATGGGTGGTACAGGAAACCAGGAGGCAGGAAGGAAGTAAGGAAGTTGCGTGGGTAGGTAGGCCTTCATTTGGAACGAGATGAAAGAGGCCTAAGGAGAGAGAGAGGTCGCTAGTTGATATGCGGAGGGGAGAAGAGAGACCCCTTTTGGCTATGGGCTACACGCGATGACTCATCCCCTTCCCCGTGGATTGCGTCACACCTTGGTATACCCGTACACCCAGTCCCAGTCTTCCTTATCGCCCTGGCCTGTTGCAGCCTCCCGAATGAGGTTATCATTTCTGAATGGGATTATCATTCAATTACACTTCTCTTCTTTCACCCTTGTCCGCCTCTGCGATCTGACAGGAAAACTAGCTGCACTGAACCTCATTGCTGCCCGTCCCCAATCAGTATGGAAACATAGTCCCGGTCACAGCCGGACTGGGATGCGTTTTTTTTTTTTTGAGGTCACTGACTCAAAAACTTTATGGAGAGAACCATTAAAATTGTACGTAAGACATATCCACAAATGGCTTAGTATTAGTCAGGAGCACCTGTCGAAGTGTTCGGTTGGTGCTGAAATATTAAGAATCGAAATTTTCTACGGGATTTTTTTTTTTTCATGTACCCTTACAATGGCACAATAAGTGCCACAAATGCTGGATTTCCATTTTTATGCGTAGAAGCATCTTGCACTTGTGAGAAAGCAGACGTTGCCACTCCCAGGTTAATAACGCGGTTTTCAGGGACTGTGGTGGAAACTGGTGTCATTAAGTCGAATGTATAAATCACGGTGCGTCGGCTAAGCATCCGATTTTCGCTACTATATAGCAAGGGGACCGTGATTTTCCCTATTATTCTATTACTACGAGAACACCTAAACCAATTTTATTCAATCCAATTGAAGTGTAATTTGGATGGCTTGGAAAATCGTTCTCCTTGCTCCTGACGCACCGACTGCTGGGGGATGGACGGAAATATCTGCTTACCTTCCCATTGCCGTATGGGAAGCTATCAGCGTGCGAATGTTGTAATTTGAAATCTTGCATAGGCCATCCTTAGAAGATTCTCGACGTCAGAAATCTTGGAGAAACTCAGGTCGGTCGACTTAAAGTCGAGAGAGAGATCTATCAGAACGCCTAAATGTCGCAGGAAACTTCTCGTTTTTCACATATATCTAATCATATCCCTATCCGGTTCATCTCGTGCTCTAGGCAACATGGAGTAACGTTTCGAAAGAGAACTAACTAAACAATCCAACTAAACCATAAAATGGCAAG